ATAAATATTAAATTATGAGCAATTTATTAATATTTTTCCAAATTTGACTTTTTCTAAACAATGCGAAAATTATCCCAGTCAAATATTTATAAATGTTCATACATGTTTATAAATATTTATAGATATTTGTATATATTCGTGCACAACAGAAATTTTTAACACATATGTATCTACTAATTTTTATCCATTCGTATCTTTCGTTAAAATTTTGAACAAAATATAAATAAATGTGTTTTAGTTTCTAGTGAAAACATTTAATGAACATAAAACATTATTGTTCTTAGTGAAAACATTTAATAAACATAAAACGTCATTGTTTGATATTTAAATGCAAATCGACTTTGACGTTGCATAATTAATGAATTACATAACATAATGAAGTTGAATAACTGCACTAAAATTATATTTCTTACCATTCATCTTCTACAATCAATTTAACTTATTTATAAATTTCATCGCAAAAAAAATTCTCTTAAAGACAAGATTCCCTTTGCCCAGAAATTGATTGATTGTTTGCAGCATCATTTGCTTACATTTCCCGACAGTTCGTTTATGCACAATAATTAATGCCTACAGTTCGATTACCTACACGCACTATTGCGCCCAAATATAAAATTAAAAGAAAAAGGCACTTGTGTACACATGACACTATTGCATACAAACTACATTGAACACAAAATATTATTGACTATTATATTATCGATTATCTACAATCACTTTTGCGAACGAATTAAAATTTCAGAGACGAATTAGTTATATTTGCTTACACGTCGTATTATTGCTTGTAAGCACTTTTGTGTACAAAAATAAAATTAAGAAACGAAGGTTTGTTTGCATATATGTATTATTACTTACATAGATCGATCTTACCTTCATGCATATATAAACTATATAAGATTATGATTAGTGTTTTTAAAACAGAATTTTCCTTTTTAAAGCAGAAAATGATGCATGTAGACAATCGGTTGTAGGCAATAACTTTTGTGCGCAAACCAAATGTCGGCAAATGTAATGTAGGCAAATTATAGGCAATCAATTTGTTGGCAAACGGAGTTCTGCTCCTTCGAAATAGCACATCTATATTTATATCAAAAGGTTGATACGTAAAACTTTATCATAAGAATATAATGGTGATGATTATTCAATAATTGAAACAAGAACAAATTATTAATGTTCTATAATATCAGTTGCTTTAATCTTTACCCTACGAGGTACAATTTGATGCCATCCATATTAATGGGGGCACTAGAATCCGTCCGTTTTTTTCATCTGTTCAGAATGATTCAAAAAAATCTCTAAAAATTCACCAACATACTTTCAACTTTTAATAAATATTGGCACTTTATTTTGGAAAATAATGTAGTATAATTTATAATTACCGAGAGGCGCAAAGAAACTTGCACGAGCAAGAATCGCTCGATGAACTAGTGACCCTCTTAGCAAGGTAATATAATTCATGTTTCCTGACTTACAATATAAATAGATACATGAGTAAGTCGTACATACAAAAATAATAGTCAGCACGTACAACTAATATTAAAATTAGACTGGATTCTGAAGACGCAGCTGAGTAAATTAACACTACAACTGATTGTTTATTATTATTCGTCAATACATTTATTTAAGGATATTTAAGGATAAGTTTTGTTTTTACTACAGTATAAGTAATAATAAGAAACTTTTAAAATAGTATACTCCCGATAATATCATCAGAAGTTAATTCCACTCGCGTTTGTTACACTTTCCACTCCAGTGAGAGAAAACATTTGATTGCGCCTGTTCATAGCCGCAAATACACGCTCAAAAAAGTGAACATTGATAGACGCAGCCTAACATAGTTCATTACTATCTCTCTTCGATTCATATGACACATTAACAAATGTTTACGAAAATTGAATTCTTGTTATGACTCTTTTCCAAACTAAATGATAAAAAATTATGACATTTGTTTCACAGTATCCCTTTCAAGTTCCTTACTTGCATACTCGTTTCTTATTAACATGTCACTGCTAATTTAGGTCCTACATAAAGAAACGCGATATTTTCATTAACTTTGTGTAGGCGATAGACGTATAAAAAGTGCGGCTTTCAATTACATCTCAGTACTGAATCTCGTTGCAATTGCACAAGCGTAACAACGTGTTCTATTAAAATACGTATAGTATCAATTTCAAGAAATTCTATTCTCAGTTTGCGGAATGTATTACTTTTATCCAATAAAGACGTAAAATTATAAAAATAATTAAACAGTAAGAATTTACTGGACGTTTCGTCTTCTGAATGCATTGTCAACTTTATATAACAGTGCTCTAAATGTCTGACCAGTGTTCTATCTGACAATTGTACGTATCTCCTAACAAAATTGTATCTTTTGGAAAATTCCCATTATGCATATAATATTTCATACAAAGTAACATTTTTATTCTTCACTTCATCATTATTGTTCGTCATTATTGTTAAGAGTAGACATAATTGTACTTGATCTATGTAACGTGGTTATAATTTACGAAAATCGAAAAATAACACTACTAAATCCAACATAATCGAATAAAGATAAAAATTACGAAAGTTATATCCAACGGGAGAGGAAATAAGTCGAAATCTATTACATGCAATTAATTCACTGATTACTTTATTTCGGAAAATTGTCATTCTTTTATTAAAAGATATTAGTCAGAACTCGACAGAGATTCTCTTTCAATTCGCTCGCATTCGTTACATTGCGTGTTCAAAGTGCATCGCGAAAATATATGTGAACTTTAGTACATGAAAATATTTGAGATTCGCAATTCGATAGTACCGCGATACAATTATCAATCGTTTTACATATCTTTTATGCGTTCCTGAGCATGCGTGAAGAAGAGAGTCGATTCAGGAGGAAATTGCTTCTGCATCGAAACACCAAGTCACGCCTTTCTTATAGCATTCCTTATAGCATTCCTTTACGCAGATGTATTCTCATGCCGGATCACATATTAGGTTCCTCTATCAACGGGAAAGATTGTCCCACGATTCGCTTCAAGCCTTTAGATCGTCGTTACTCTTTATTTATGACCCTCTCTATTGCTCGAGTTCATCTCTTCTGTCTGTTCGGTATCCGCTAATTCCGCTTGTATTTGGCATTCCTCTTCATGCAATGCTTAGCGCTTACCCGTCATTATTGTCTTTTCTACTTTGTCATTAGCTTTTTTGAATTACATGCGCATGTATCGCTAACTCTACATCTGCTTTTTTATCAGTTGCAGTTTGTTCTTCACTTGTCGTACAGGTATCACTTATGTAATCCTAAAAATAAATAATTTTTTACATATAAAATGTGTTTTGATATATTGCAATTATCTACCATAATATAGTTATAAGTATATAACAGAAATAGGAAGACAAATGAGAATTTACTTAAATCGATTAAATGTTTTCTCGTGAATCACCTTATGTTGCTCACGAAAATGAGTACGAAGTAGTTTTCTATATATGAAACCCTTGCCACACACCAAACATTTAAACCGCTTTTTATCACTATATATAAATCTGTGCTGGACTTTGTTATGGCTGGAACGAAGATCTTTGTCTTGATTGGAACAAAGGATTTTGTCATGATTGGAACGAAGGACTTCGTCGCAAACCTAAAATAAAACATGATTACAGGAATGTGAAAATAAAAACAATCATATATAAAATGTGTTTTGATATATTGCAATTATCTGTCATAATATGGTTATAAGTATATAACAGAAATAGGAAGACAAATCAGAATTTGCTTAAATTGATTAACTATTTTCTTGTGAATAACCTTATTTCGCTCATGTATACGAAGTGAGCGTCTACATTTGAAGTCGCCACATACTGAACGTTTAAATAGCTTTTTATCTCTGTGTTCTAAACTATGCATGTCTTTGTCTATTTTTATAAGAAAGCTTTTGCCGCAAACCTGAAATAAAGCACATTTATTATTACAGAAATTTAAAAACAAAAATCATATGAGAGAAAATTAGAAAAAAATAATAATTTTATAGCACATACCTCGCAAATATATTCTTCGTCTTCATGTATTTCTAAGTGCCGTTCTAAGTGGCTAGGAGAGGCAAATGTACATGAACATTGATCACATTTATGTATTTCGATATGAATCGTGCTTATATGATAACTCAAACAGTCCCGAGTTCTGAAAACATGATACACTTGTATAATTTTTTCAATGCAATGCTTCGCCTCTATGTGCACTATTAGAGTTCCTCTTTGACTACGAAATGACCGTAGCAACATTTATCATTTGTTATCAATTAATTTAAGCTAGATATCAAATAATTTCTTTAATTTTTATTCCTCAAAGTACTCACTTAAATGATGCTTCGCACGACTTGCACTTATAAGGTTTTTCCCCTGCATGAATCGGCTCATGACGAAGCAAATCCGCTTCATACTGAAACGTTTTACCACACTTTCCGCATTTATAGGGTTTAACTTCTTTATGTACTTCTTTATTATGTTTTGTGAAATCTCTCGTGAAGGTAAACTCCTTATCTTTAATAATAAGGAAGATTATTATTGTAAAATGAAAATGGTAATATAAAACTGATAACTGTTGAAATAATATAAAATTATCAAAAACACTAAAAATATTAACCACGAAAAAAATCATCACTTAAATCTTACCGCAATGATAGCATACATATCCTTTTGGGTCATTGTGCTTTCGTTCATGTTGATTCAAATTTTGCGAATTTTGAGATTTAGAACTCATTTCTTTTAGATTCAAATTCCAATCTTATCAGAGATATTCTCAATTACTTTTGCAGTAATGTTCTTTGAATTCTTTTTGTAGTCTTCACTGTTTACATTTTTTCGAATGTTTACTTTCAAGTTTACCACCTAAAGACATAAGAAAATAGAATTTTTGACTTTATAAATTTTTTATTAAAGAAATTATATCACGAAAGATCACCGTTAACATAACTATTTCACTCGCTTAAATGCCTTAAACAGTTTTTGCAAAACGATAGGAGAATATTCGATGCCTGAACCGTAGAAAATGCTACATCGAGAAAAACATAAAGAAAGGTAAAAAAAATTAAGGAAAAGCGATCTATTTCGCGGCATATATTATTTTAATATATTTATTAATGGGTAAAGATCGGTCTATGTCGGAACATATACGAAGGTTGAGAAATATGGTTGAGAAAGGGACAAGAACGATTTAAGTGCATGAAATTAAAGAAGAGTTTATATAGCACAATATTTTCTTTTTATAAATTTTATAATGGTATGATTGAAAACGGGACATTTTGATTTTTAATCCTGTTTTTCACATTCATTTATTCATCTATTATTTAATTTTCCATAACAAAATTCATGTAATTTATGAGTAATAAATATTGCATATACATATATTAGACCTTTCATTAATTTCATACGACTTAAACCGTTCTTGTCCCTTTCTCAACAATGTCTAAAACAAAACGCCAATATAATATTCATAACTCAAATATAGAATTATCAAAGATGCGCGTGTACTGTTTTTGATAGGATTGATATCCTATAATATGTTTTCACAATAATAGCATTATATAAAAACTTTATCGAAATCTGCTATCATATTTTAATATCTTTTACTGCTAAATTGACATATTTTATCATTAGTGATACTATATGTAATTTAGAACATTTATATATGAACATTTCTTTATTTTTTTCTGATTTACATAAATAAAATATTCATGAAAATATTATATGTTGAAAAACAATAAAAATAGTTAAACATAATTCAAATTGAATATGAATATAAGAACATAATGTAAGAAACAATTATCAAGGTTAAAAGCAATTTTTGTATAAATTACTAATAAGTATGAAAAAAGAAATATTAAAAATAAACCATATAATTGTCATTTTAATATCTGATAAATAGAAATTATAGAATTCAGTGAAGAAGAGACAATAGTCAAAACCTATTTTATGTTCGACGATAAGAACAGATTTAATTCCAGCAATAAAATTATAATAAAGTGACAGCTGTCAATAAAAAGTTGTTATAAAAATAATAGAATAATGTATCCAAGGCAGAGTAAATAATAAAAAAAAGATATTTGTAAAATTAAAATGATCTGAAGTTAAGTTATAAAATTAAAATTTTGATGTTTTAATATCTTACATTACGATTCAGACGTAGTAACAAAGACAATTATAGTTGAATTTCAAATTTACTGACAATTAACCTTGTCAAAATCTTTAAAACGACTGAGACAAAATGTGTGTGTGCGTGCGTGTGCGTGCGTGCGTGCGTGTGTATGTGCGTGCGTGCGTGCGTGCGTGCGTGCGTGCGTGCGTGCGTGTGTGTGTGTGTGTGTGTGTGTGTGTGTGTGTGTGTGTGTGTGTGTGTGTGTGTAGGGTAAAAGAACTAGATGTAAATCAATTACTATTTCCTTTTCATATTTAAATAATTATAGTATTTTCCATTAAATGTTACATATCACAAGATTCTTTAGCATTTATTTTCATATCGGTTGAATTTAATTATATTTATTAGGAACAGCGCTATACATTTTATTGATGTCATTAATTAATTAAATATACAAGGTTAATTAACGTATACTACTAGAAATTTATTCAAAGTGTAATATCATACGAATTGTCTTATGGCTTTTATAGTAGGTATAAATTTACAGTTATACAATAAGTTGCATTAAATTTCATGGAAAAAATTGAAAATTTGTCAAATCTTAACAAATGATGCCGTCATAAAAAGATTTTGTTTTTATCGATAGAAAATAGTTTACATGTCTATACAAAAAATGTTACTATCATAATTTCATATATCGTATTCATAATTTAACTGTTTTTATTGCTAAAATCTTTAATTTTTATTAATTTCTTTTTATTTATAATTGATTTTTGACTATCACTAATTTTAAATAAAGTTGAATGTGTTAAAATTGCATTATGATCTACAATTAGACTCAAGAATTAGACGTGGATCATCAATTATTGTATATAATTTCATTATGTACTATATTATGATATGCACGCGGAAATAATTTTTATTATTATGATGGGATGTAATATCGATTTTTAATAATTTTTTTTCAAATACTATAAACTTCACAAAAAAACAGCGAGGGACAAAAATTGTTTATTTTCTTTTTAAAGTTCTAAGAATTTAAAAAAATTTTTTTAGAATTTTTTATATCGTAATTTTTCATGTCGATAAAAATAATTGTCAATATATATATATATA